CAATACTGTATTATAATTATGAGCTATCACTATCCTTGTCAAGGTTTTACTTTCACATGGTATAGTTATTGCTAATAGTTGATCATGATGTTCCCTATAGATCCCCTGATTAGGGGTGGCAATTCGGGTCAGCAGGTCGGGTTCGGGTCAGATTTCGGGTCGATTTCGGGTTATGCTTAGAAACTATTAAAAATAGTGTAAAACTTAATATTATTACGAAATATGAAATTTGGGTCAAATCGGGTCGAATTCGGGTTGTTCGGGTTCGGTTCAGGTCGGGTTCGGGTCTCTCTCAGTAACTTCGGGTCGGGTTCGGGTCGGGTTTTCGTGTCGGGTCAGGGTTTGCCAGCCCTACCCCTGATGAGATTTATCTGTCACAGCTACAATATGTCATAGCTAGTGGTATGCATTCTAAGATGGGGGGATCTGGCCTAACATAATCCCAAATCTCAATGGGGTATGTGGTCCACAGATCTGGGGTATGGAAAAAGCTTCTGATTACACATTTCTATCTATTGTGGTTTTGCCAACCTATCTAAACTTTGAACGGAATTACTTGAAAAAATTGGCTGGTTTCTATGTTGGTAAACGGGCTTTTTGATTTGACTGTGTAGTAGCTCCAATGAGAAATTATACCATGTATCAATAATTTCCTGTCCCATCTGAAGTGGTCACTTTCCCTGTAAAATAGATCGGCATTTTCCTTTACTCCTGTTAAAGTTGTGATCATCATTGTACTCCTTGACAATATCACTTAGGGGGTGTTTGGCAAGTGAGAATTGAGGGTGGGATTGAGAATTTTAATCCCAATTGAAAAAATAAGCCTTGTTTGTTTGGTGGGAATGGGAATAAAAAGGGGTTTGGGAATGGGATTATTTAGGGGTGAATTCCCACCATTTTATTACCTAGGGAGGGTAGGGTATTAAATGGATGGGAATGGGAGTAGGGGAAAAATGACATTTTTTGCCATTAATGAAAAGAATGAAATAATAATCTTAGTAAGGGTATTTTTGTAAAATTGTTATTTATTCCCTATATATTCCCACCCACTATCCGAACAAGGTATTGGCATATTTTCATGTATTCCCATCAATTAATTCTCAATCCCATTCCCACATTTTAATCCTTAAGTCTTATTGCTGTTTCTTTAAATATTTCTTAGGAGCAATTTGATCCAATCCGATATGGTGAACTGAAGCAAGATCTTATCCCACATATGGTTTATGGGTGAGTGAATTTACATTCTCTTTGATTGTCATCTCCCAGCTCACCCCCAACGTGAATCAAGAGTCATTCATGCAACTTTTTTTTTTTTGATTTGGCAGGAGGAATTTGAAGGAAAATGAATTTGGAGGAATGTGCTGTGCAGTGATTACTGTGAAGTTAGTATTTCCTTTTTCATTTTGGGGTTAACTCATTGATCTTTCTCCTGAAATTGCTTACACTTGCCTCATTCTGCAGCTCAATAATTGTCTCATGTGCTGTTTTCCGTGTATTTGGGAAGGAGGTGGTTGAAGTTCCCTTAGCTGCAACGAGTAAGGATTTTGTTGGAAAGGTTAGCTTATGTTCCTTATTTTGAAATACACTACTTCCACTATTCCTTCTAGTCACTTGTCTTCTCACAAAAGCTATACTTGTCTTTATCATACTTGATGTAAGTCAAATTTCTCATTTGGTTACTTCTATTAAAGAGTACTGGGATATAATTGTTTTGTGATGATTATTTTAAGTAAAAGTCATGGTTTGAGTGATGTCAAATGTGTGAACTATATGTATTATTTTGGGCTGATGGCTATTGTGTTTTATAGTATCTGCTATGTACTGAACTAACTATTTAATTAATGCAGGGTTACTTCCAATGCTTGTATTCATGTATGGAAAGTTTGTTTAAAGATTTGGGTGTACAGCGCATTTTACTTCCAGCTGCTGAGGAGACAAGATCATTGTGGGTGAACAAATTCGGTTTCATTGAGATGCCACAAGAAGAGGTTTGTTCTCTAAACTTAATGCATGTCTTTTTTTTGGTGCCATCTAACTTATCATTTGCTTATTGTGCTTTTTACAGTTCGATGATTTGAAAAAGTATTATGCCCTGATGATTTTTGATGGAACCTCAATGCTGCATAAGCTGGTGCCTAGGTCCGAAACCTGAGGTGTTGAGAAAGGTTGCTTGTGGACCAAAAAGGAAGGGCTTTTGTTCAAAGTATATTGCTTTTGACTTTGTACAGAGGATTAATATTGGTGAAATAGGAAGAATGGATCTTTTGGTTTTCCATACATATACAGAAATAGAACTGAAATCTCTAGTAGTGAGAATCAGGAAGTTTTGAAAGATATATATAAGGCGTAGGATTTTGATTAGTGCAGTTTGCTTGTGGAATTTACTTACAGCAGCTGTTAGAACACATTTTGTTGCAAATATGTAAATATTATTCTTCTTTTATGTCAAAGGTTAAAATTGTGTTATTTTCAGTAAGCGCAAGCTTCATGATATACTGCATTTTGTCATTGATATTTGGATCTGTTTGCAGTGGGAAAATCCTTGGGAATTATGGTCTAGGGATTGTTTGGCTAAGAGAGGTTTGGGAGAGAAAAAAAAAAGAGCTTTAACTAACTCGAATCTCTAATTAGAGTAGTTTGCTTGAGAGAGTATCAAGGCTAAAAAACTATTAAAAATTTTACTAATGCAAGATTTTTGGTTGATTGAAGATGAAGAGTTAAGAACTCTACCTATGAGAGTTAATAAGAGTTTTTAAGTGAGAAGTTTAATACTCCATAGTTGAGAAAAATGTTTTTCTTTTTATTTTTTTTTTAAATTTTTTTTTTATTCCTTTCTATCTTAAAGTCGAAATTACAAAAATCCAAATTAAAAATAAAATAAAACCTTTTGTTATATTTAATTAGCGGTATTGTCCTAAAAAAAATCACTTTAAACACCACATCATAAGAACTAAGGTCATGTTCTCTTCGACTTATTCAAATAATATTTAGTAAAAAAGAATTTGAATTTAAAAGTTTTAGTTTAGTAAAAATATTGAAGTTCATTAAAAATATGTTTTAATAAGTAAATACCAATAACATTAAGGAACAAAAGCAATATAGAGAAGTAAAAAAAAAAACTTTAAGCAATAAATATAAATTAAGTTTGGTAAACTGATTTTAAATTTGGCAAAAATAAGGTGAAAAGAACACGACCTAATTCTTTTTTTTTTTTTTTTAAAGAAACAAGACCTAATTCTAATATTTCCTTTGTTCTTTTTTTATTGAAACATTTTAATTTACCACTTTTGAAAGCACATAAATTCATTAACTAATAACTCTAATCATCAAAAATAAAATTATTAAAAAAAATTATACATAAAAAAAATAATTGAAGCAAATTTGATATAACACATCTCATATGACTATATAAACAACTAAAGCGTGTCAAATCAGAATTGTGAATAGTGTCATAAATTAATTAATTAAAATAGAATCGAGGGAAACTAATTTTGAAACTACTTTAAACTATTTCCTCCATTTTTTTAGTTGATACGTTTTTCTAATCTCATTTTCTAAATGTGTAATTTTAATAATTAATATTTCTAGTTATCAACATGTAAAAATTATATATACTAGTACAAAAAAAGTAGTTGACTAAAAAAGAATGAAGGAAGTATGATTAACTCCGCTAGTCATTATCATTTTGTGGCTACAACCAGTCTCAACCTTTTGTAAAAGAGGAGAGTTGTAATAAGTCTATGGTGATGACAAGCATTATATTTTAGCGACATCTTGGATATAAATCAAATTTGTCCAAATGCCTAGGGTTGGTGTCAAATATGCATTAGTCTTTACATCGAATCTAAATTTTTTTGGTGTTCCACCCAATTCACCCTTTGGGCTAATTCGGATTCGAGGATCAATTCTGGGTGGTTAGGGTTTAGTCCTCTTCCAATTGTTGTTGCTGGAGATCGAACACGGGTCTTCCCTACTAAATACAGTCCCAATCACCATTGCACCAACTACCAATTGGTTACATCGAATGTAAGTAATTAGAATAAGATAATTACATGTTATTGAAATTAGGGGAGTAATGAAGTAGGATTTTTTTTTTTTTTGTGTGTGTGTGCGCGCGCGCGCTCGCGCGGGGCAAAAGGGGCTAAAAGACCCAAAAATACAAAACAACTAAGCAATTAAACGAGGGGTAGTAACTCCTAAGATGTTCTCTTTGAGCAACTCCTTTATTTTGATCGGAGGTACATTGAAATAAATGACCAAGTAAACAACAATTGCTTAGTTTTCAATAAATTATCTAGAAGTTTCAATTTTATTTCTTTTCATTTTTATTCCCATAATTTGGAACCTGTATGTAAACGAATATAGGCCTTGTTTGGCAATTGGCTGCTGGCTGTTGGCTGTCGGCTGGTTTGATTGGCTGGTTTAACCGGTTGTTTGTATATTGACTTTTTTGTTGTCTTGTTTATTAGTCTGAAAATATGTTTGGTAAAATTGGATGTTAGATGTAATTAGTAGCTTACGTAGCCAAAAGCTACTCCAAGTAGCTTTTTCATTTTGTGTTAAAGCTGACTGAAAAAGCCATTTACCAAACACAAATTTGAGATGTTTAGCCAAATGAAAAAGCCAAAAACCAATAAAAAACCAATGAAAAGTCATTTACCAAACAAGCCCATATGTATGTGCAATTGTTTGTCTAAGCCATTTACCAAACAAGCTCATAGGTATGTGCAATTGTTTGTCTAGTTATATCTATCTATCTATCTATATTACTGCGTATATACTAAAATAATCACCAAAAGGGACACTTGACACTATTTTGTAAAAAAATTTCTCTCCAAAATGCTATTTATTGTATTTAATTTCTTAAAAAATTCTATTTATATATATAATATGCTACACATAAGAATTTGATTGATGTATATTAATAAATTCAAATTTGAAAAAAAATTGCTATTCAATTAACTCTATTTCAATTGACTATTATTATTAAGGCCAAATTAGAAAATAACACCTGTTAAAAGACCTAATTTTGTTTTTAACACCTTAAGATTTCGAAGTTTAATTATAACACCTGTTAAAAAATAAAAATTTTGCTTTCACCACCAGATAACAGAAACTGTGACGGAATTTTTTGGTGGGGCCCACATAGTCGTTTACCCTCCAAATTCCATCCCCTTCAATTCGAATTTATCTTCTCTGTCATTTATTACCACCCAACTAATTTTGCTTCATTGAATTTCGTCTGCAAATCTTGAACAACCAAAATTACTGCGAACATTCAAACCCTATACTGATTGTTGTGATTGAGAAATTGAGTTGGAAGAGGAGGTGTCAATATTGGAGCAAAACAAGTCAGCGAGATTCCGTCAGCCATTTCCAACATCCAAAAAGCTTGGACTTTTTCGTGGATTCTGACAGCAACAGGAGTAAGATTCCAATACAGGTACCTTTCGAACCCTTTAAAGTAGTTTTCAACAAGTACTGTGTGCTGCATTATGCCATTTGTGTGGGTGTAGTAGGGTAATTTGGGAAAAAAAATTAGGAACCCTAAGAACAGTAAAATGGGTTAATTTGTAATTAAAGTTGAATTTGATTAAATTAAGTATGATTTGGTGTAATGTGTGAATTATTTAGTTTAAATCATTGATTTTATTGACTGTTGACTGGTTTGTCATTGTGTTGGTTTAAATATGTTTGATTTTGTTGATTAAAGTATTGCGGTTGACTGTGTAATGGGGTTAGCTATGTTGGGTTTTATTGATTTGCTATGCATTTGTTTATTAGGTAGAAAAATGGCCGACAACGAAGATGGATTAATTGATATAGTATTTAGAGTAGGGGGTGCTTTTGTTACTAAACAAGTGTCAAAATCAAAGCATTTGCTTTGTTGGTGTGGTGTGTTATGTTATTGGAGGAGGGATGTGGTAGTGGATAAGATAGATTTGCATTATTTGAGGGTAGCTGATGTGCATGGGTTTGTGAACTTTAATGTCCATGTCCCACCTAACTACAGACTTTGGTATAAAGAAAGAGGTAGGACCTTTAACACAGGGAGAAGGGAGTTAGTAAATGAAGAGGAAGTGAAGGGGCTGCTGGAGACAGTGAATGGGGAAGGGTATGTTGAAGTATTTGTGACTGCTAATGAAACATTAAGGCCAATACATGAGATCCAGGCCCAGTCCACTCCAGTAAAGGCTGAGAGAAAGGGGAAGAAAAGTTCAGGTAAGCCTGCTGTAGTTAGGAAGAGCCCAAGAATTAACAAAAATGAGCCTAAGGTGAGGGAGGGTGAAGAATCTCCTAAACCTAGATCTAGACAGGGGATAGAAAGGGTTGAAGGGGTTTCTGCTGAGATTAAGGGGGTTCCTGGTAAAGGGAAGTTGTTGAGTAAGGGGAAACAAAAGGGTAAAGCTAAGCTTGAAAGGGGTTCTGGCAGTGTGAAGGTGTTGGATAAGGGAAAGGGAAAAAAAAAATCTGTAGGCAAAGGATTGATTTTTGAGGATAGTAGTGAGGGCAGTGAGACTGGGAGGGAAGATGATTTTTCTTCAAGTGATGGGAGTGAGATTGACATAACTTGGGAGCTTGGAGAGGAGGAGTATGATAGTGGGGATGAGAGGTGGTTTGTGCAGAATTCTGAAGAAATTTTAGCTAAGGTAACAAGAAGTCTTGGGAAGCAGTTTGATGTACATGATGAGGGGGTTTCCAAGGATCCAAAGGCAAGGTTGACAGATAACTTGGATGTGAATGAGGTACAACTACAAGAAGAAATTGAGGGAGAATCAGATGACCTAAGGAGCTTGGATGGTTCATCTGATGAAGAGGACAAAAGTCCATGGTTTAATGACAAATCTGACTTCTCAAAGCCTGTTGTACTTGTTCATAGGCTTAGGTTTAGCAATGCTACAGTGTTGAGGAAAGCTTTAAGAGTGCATGCCATATAGAATAGGTATGAGTACTATTTTTTACACAATGATAGTACTAGGATTACTATTCAGTGTAGGAATAGGTGTGGGTGCAAGTTTGACACAAAGACAAGTAGGATGCCTTTGTGTATATGCAGGGGTGGAGTGAAGTGTAGTTTCAAGATCCATGCTACTAAGTTAAAAAGACAACAGACTTGGCAAATAAAAACCATGAAGTTGGAGCATAAATGTGTGAGAAGCAGGGAGAACAAGAAGGTCACAGCAGAGTTCATTGCTGAGAGGTATCTTGAGGAGTTCAGAACTAACCCATCATGGAAGGTTAAGCAAATCAAGGATAGGGTGCTTCATGACTTGGGGGTAGAAGTGACCTACTATAGGGTTTGGATGGCAAGATGTAGAGCTAAGTTGATCATTTTTGGTTCAGCAAGCGAGCAATATGCTAGGGTATGGGATTATGGGAAGGCTGTAATGAAATACAACCCTGGGTCTGGTTGTAATGTTGTGATTGATGGCATTGAAAAGCCTGAGCCTCCCTTGTTTATGAGGATGTTTATTTGTTTAAGGCCTTTGAAGGATGGGTTCTTGAAGGGTTGTAGGCCAATTATAGGGGTGGATGGCTGCCACTTGAAAGGAGGTTATCCAGGCCAGATTTTAGTTGCAGTCTCCAAGGATGGGAACAACAGCATTTACCCCATTGCTTGGGCAACTTGTGAGGTTGAAAACAGGGATACTTGGGTATGGTTTCTGGAATCCTTGATGCAATGCATTGGAAGTGCAGATGGGGCAGGCTTCACCTTCATGTCAGACAGGCAGAAGGTAATATTGTTTTGATTATTGTAGTCTTATTTTCTGTCCTGTTCTTTATTGTTTGAAGTGTGACAAGTAATTGTTGATGATGTTAAACAGGGACTGGTTGAACTCTGTCTGAAGTTGTGCCTAATGCAGAGACTAGGTTCTGTGTTAGGCACATTTGGGCAAATTTCAAGTTGAAGTTCACTGGATTAGTTTTCAAAGAGCTCTTTTGGAGTGCTGCAAGAGCAACAACATTTGTAAGTCTCTAGGTGACCTTAAATTATTTTGAATAAGTAAATGCATGATATTGTTCCTGTTCATGTACCTACTTCATGTAATAATGTTCCTGTTGTGTATAAAAGCAAAATAAGAGCAACAATAGTTGTGTATGTTATTCTTTCATGATAATGTTCCTGTTGTGGTTGTAGGTTGAGTTTCAGATAGCCATGCAATAGATTAGGGAGCTTGATGAGGATGCTTACAATTATTTGGAGAACATCCCCACTCATCACTGGTGCAGACATGCATTCAGTGACAGCTGCAGGTCCAACATGTTACTAAACAACATGTGTGAGACTTTCAACTCTGTTATCAGAGATGCAAGAGACAAACCTATCCTCACCCAAATGGAATGGATGAGGAGGTACATGATGAGGAGAAATAATGAGAAGTGGGAGGACTCCAAGGAAATCACAACCAAGATCACTCCATATGTGCATAAGCTATTTCAGAGGATGAGCTATGTGGCTAGGAATTGCATAATTGAAGCTGCCAGGGATGACACTTATGAAGTGCAGCTGAATGATGACCAGGTTCTAGTTGACTTGCCAAATTGGTCTTGTTCCTGCAATCACTGGCAATTACCAGGCATCCCATGTATTCATGCATTTGCATGCATAATGGATCAGAGGGTTGATGCTGAGCAGTTTGTCCACCCCTATTACACTATGGACACTTACAGAGCAGCATATGAGCCTGCAATTCAACCTATGCCAGACCCAAAGCACTGGGAGAGAGTGAACATGAGAGAGCCTCATCCACCAGCATTCAAACAGCAGCCTGGAAGACCTAAACAGAAGAAGAGGAAGCTGGAACCTAGGGAGGGAACATCTGCAACAGGAGGGGAGCAGGGAAGAAAGAGGAGGAAAAGTCAGTGTAGGATTTGTGGTGGATTTGGCCACTATCCCAAGACTTGCAAGGGCCCACATGAACCTGAACCAACTGAGCAGAGAACTGCAGGAAGGCCTCCTTTAAATTCACCTTGGGTAGTTGAGCAAAGGAAGAAGAGGGAGATCAAAGCTGCTAAGAAGGTATGTTGTTGGATTTGTAACTTTTCTTTTAAAATTTGTGATGAAATTGGATGTTGATACTTGTTTATTGGTATTTGTGTTTAATAAACAGAGTGCAATAGGGGCTGGTCCAAACAGCATTGGGAATAGGACTTTTCCCCAAGAGCAACCTGGCTGTGAACCATTGAGTAAGAGGAAAGGTTCACACAGTCAACAAAGGCAGCCACAAGCCAAGCATCACACCACCCCCTCTTCCAGCCAACCTGAACCCAATGCTACTGGAGTGCAGACAAGGAGGGCTAAGCTGCTGACTTCCAGACAAGGAGGGCTGACACAATGATGTTTGAATTGTTTTTCTGAACTTTAGTTGTTGGTTGTATTTTCTGAACAATCAGTTGCAATATTTGTAGCTTTACTTTTGGGTTTAGGACAAGGATCCTGTTTTGTTAAATTAATACTTTGCTTTAAGGCTTTACCAGCCAATTTTGTTAGGCACTGCAACAACAAATTTGATCAACAACTTAAATGCAATATCAACTACTTAGGTACTTACTTAATTCACTGCTTTCATAATTGTGTACATTAGTTTGCTTGCAATAGTGGTTCACTGCCACTTATAAATCATTACATTACCATATTACTGTTTCATGCAATTACTAGCATTACAAGTTATACTTAATGCATTACAAACCCCCTAATAAGAAGGATCACTAATATGACCAAACTAATCCCAACAGCAAGACTAAGAACAGAGTGATCTGATCTAGCATTCCTTCCATGCATCTCTCTGTTCATCTTGTTCCTGTCAGAGTTTAAAGCCTTGCATTTCATTTTCAGCCTGTCCACTTCATTCAGCAAACACCTCAACTGTCCACCAAGATCATCAACTTCCCTCTTGTAATCACTAATTTCCCCCTTCAACAGTTTCTTATCTAACAACAAATTGTTGATCACCTCAGTTTGCCAGGCTGTCCCATCTTGTTCATCCACCCATTCAAATGCTTTACAACCTCTGCTCTCAGTTACAGGATCGTAGAACTTGCATGTTCTGAACTTACGACCAGGGTTCTCCCTTGTCCAACTGGTAAGCTTTGCAAAGGGAACACCACATTTGCACTTCTTCTCCTTTGAAGGTGAGAAACTTGTAGAAGACATTTCCTGCACCAATTTGCCATCCATAATAAGCAAAACCATTCGTACTATGAAAAAAATACAATTGAACCAAGGGAATTAAACAATCACTCCTACAAATCAAAACCCCCAAATTATTTCTACAATGAACCCTAATTTCATTTTCTCGCAAATTACAGCACAATTAACACACAATGAACCCTAACTATTTACGAATTACATGACTATTGCCAGATACGACCTGAATTATGCATTTAAGTCAACAACATATAGATTAATTTACACCTTATTTTTGAAAGATAAATTAGGGTTTCTAAAGTGCTATTGACGCAATTACCTGATTTGATATCTACGTCCCCCAAACAATGATGGTAAAATCAAACAATTTCGCCAATTTGTTAGTCAGAATTCGCAAAATGTGAAGCAATTTTGTGTAATCAGCTCAACAATTCTACATTAGTGAAGGATGTCGTAACTATATAAAGCAGTTTGGAAAAAATAGCCGTTATTGTGGGCCCAGCTAACAGATCCTCTAACGTTGTTCCAATTTAGGTGGTGAAAGCAAAATTTTTATTTTTTAACAGGTGTTATAATTAAACTTCGAAATCTTAAGGTGTTAAAAACAAAATTAGGTCTTTTAACAGGTGTTTTTTTCTAATTTAGCCTATTATTAATAAATTTTTCTAAATCCTTGCATTACACGGAGACAAAAACTAGTAAATAAGTAAGATCATACGGAGTATGTTATATCGGATCAGAATTTCTCACAAGTCAATACAGGTAATGAATTTATTATTAGTCAAATAAATTTTTTTTTTTAAATGGAAGTCAAATAATTTAATACCCCTTTCTATTTCGTTTGCATTATGTTTTTTTTTTTTTTTTTTTTTTTTTTACGGATCGTATGCATTATGTTAGCTATGTACTCGTATCTATCAATTTGGTTTTTGTATTTTTATTTTTGAATATTACTATTTTAACCTTGATAGATGAACGAAGATTTGAAATCCAACGGTCAAATTATACAAATCATAAAATGAATCCTGAAATCACATAAGCGGGGAAAACATCAAATTCAAAATTCAAATAAAAACAACCAAACTTCCAAAATTACCCTTAATTCTAGAAAATTCCTCAAAAATAGCCCTCTTTTATTTCCTTTTCCTCCTTTTACATCCCCTTTTATTCCTCTTTCTTCTTCTTCCCTTTCTTCATCCCGCTCCCACTCACTTTCTCTCTCCTCCTTAATTCCTGGTACGCACTCTCTCTCTAAAATTTCATCAATTTTTTATAATATTTTAGATTGATTTTGGTAATTTTTTTTTTTAATTTATTGTTTGATGTTTTTTGATTGATCCAGAAGAACCCTAGAAGGCAAATTGAAGAAGTTGATTAAGTAGATTAACGAAGAAAAATGGGTCAGATCCAGTACTCTGAGAAGTACTTTGATGATACTTATGAATACAGGTATGAATTATGGTTTTCAATTTTAAATTAATTTGGGAATTTTTTTAAAATTGGTGGTGTGATGATGATTAGGGTTTTGAATTTGCGTGATTTTCAGGCATGTTGTTCTTCCAGCTGAAGTCGCTAAACTTCTTCCCAAGAATCGCCTTTTGACTGAGGTAAGTTTTTGTTTCTGATTTTGCTTTTATATTTCCATTTTTTTTTTTTGGTAATAATTTTGATTTTTAATTGATTGAATTGTACAGTGATTGCTAAGCATATAATCATGTGATTCGGAATTTGGATTTTTATATAATGTTTGCGAATTTATTTTCAAAATGTTCGTTTGGTTTGAATTTA